CTAGTTGCGGGCGGGTGGGCTGGATGATTGCGCAAGCAGTGAAATAGACAACTCACTGCGACCAATGGTGCTTTCTCCTTTCCCAAAAAGAATTAGATTCTCCCCCCCGGATTCTCCGCGCCCATTTTAAGACGAAGCCGGGATCGGGGCAAAGTTTGACCGGGATAAAAATCATGCTCGGTTTTTCAAATCACCGGGGGCGCCGCCGAACGGGCCTGCCACGCCTTGGGCGCCATCGGCTTCGCGAGGGAAGGAATGCGCCCCGGCGCAGATGGGGCCACGGCGCGTATTTGGCCACGCGCGCGCCCGAGGGAATTCAGCGCCAAGCGCCTTTCACTCCAGAAGACCCGACGTCAGCAAAACAAACTTGAGGCCTCAAGGGGGCCCCAAAGAGGCGGACCGCCCAAACAATCACGCAACCAACGCAACGAAAAACACCTGTAAATATCAAAAAGCGCAGTACTCAGTGACCTCTTCGGCCGCGCAACACCGCGAGAATGCCCGAGAAGGCATTGGAAAAAGAGCCCGCGCGCGGCCTGGCGACTTCCCCGCGCCGCCCCAAGGCCCCCGAAACGCGCCGAAATAACCGCAAAGAAAACCCCGGAAAGTCTTTGGAAGGCCCCCGCACCATGCAATATCCGCCACCGAATCATCTCGCGGACACCTAGCGCGCACGCGCGGGCGTCCACCATGGATGCCCAACTCCGGTTTCGGAGACAATCGCGCGCAAACGCCCGGGGGCTTCGGCGACCTCGCGATTGGCCCAGGGGCCCGCGGGCCCCAAAGAATCGAGGACCGAGTTCGCGACTCCGGAAGCATCGGGCGCGGCGCCAGCCAGTCGCTCGTCTCTGGCTGACAGTGGGGCGCCTGGAGATCCGGTAAAACCTGAGGAACCGCTTTTCAGAGATTCACAGAACCAGAAAACGGGGCGCGCCAAATTCTCGCGTCCGAACTTCTCTGAGAATCTCTGAAAATCTCTGAACTAGACACCCCGCGCGAAACATTCCCATAAACCCAAAACCTCGGAGCTGGCCAAAACTCTCTGAGAGTTTTTCGGCCCGCGAAATTTGGCGCGCCCGGATTTCCCGTTCCGAGATTCTCTGAAATCGGCCTGCGGCGGCGCCCAGCAGGTCCTCACGCGCCGAGGGTGGGGGCCGTGGACATCGCAGGCCGCGATGGTCCCGACCACGAGGTCCTTCCTCCTGCCCCTCGACGAGTCCACGCTCATGGACACGCTCTCTGCGCTGAGCGTGGACCGCGCCATCCGCCGGTACTTCTGCGCGACGACAGCCAACTGGCCGACGACAGACAAGGCGATTCTTTTCCGAGCTGCGCGTGCCACCGAAAACGTGCAATAGCCCCGGGCTCGGGTAGAAACACTTTCGAAGCATTTTCAGGCCGCCAGCGTCGTGGCCGCCGACCCGCCGCGCGCCGACCGCGAGACTAGCTGGGCCCACTACGTCCACGGCGGCGGGCGGGCGCCCAAGAGAGCTGTCGCGACGGTGCGCGCGGCGGGGCGCCCGCCCCACTGCAACCGCGCATGCGGCCTCCATGGCGCCACAGGCGTAATATGCGCGACGCGCTCTCGGGCCCCCCATCAACGCATCGACCAGCGCCCAAGCCCCTGAAACGCAAACCTACTGCGCCCCCCGTGCAAGCCGCGCACCCGCTCCCAATGCTCGTGCACGCCAGCTTGTCTGCCCGCCCTCAACAGTTTAATTGAGCGCCCATGCGTTACTTGGGCTCCTCAAGCCCTCGAAAAGTCCTTGGGAAACTTCTGCGAATGCGCGCGCTGCGCTCCACAATTCGGCGTTCTATTTTTCTTTGGAACTCTCCCAGAATCTCTGGTTCCGATATGTCCCGATCTTCCGCTCAACTGACATTTCCGCGCGGCAATGCGCGGATGACTCTGCCCCACCGTCCACCCGAAATGAACTCATAGTATCCCAGCCAGGCCGGCACCGGCCCCCCTGCCAACTTTTCTTGTGCGAGGCAGTGCTATGCTCGCGCGATCGTTTTGTATTAAAAATATTTACTATATATGACATCAGCTTTCGTTAATCCAATGCAACAGAAATGAAGAAGTGCACGCGCGCGCGTCGTCGCGCGCGCGCATGTTCTTCAAACGCATGGGGCGCTGTAAAGGGTTCAAGTCGAGTCCAAACAACATACTTATATGTCCATGCACATATATACATATAGAAAGAGAAGAGAAAACAAGACATGGTTTCGCAACAGGAATTTTCAATCAAAAAACCGTCGCTCGCGCTCTTGCGAATTCTGCGTGCACCCACCAGTTTTCCATCATGTCCATGAGATGCTACCACGCGGGCTTCGCGCGCGCATGCCGAAATTGTTCGAGCACCCTTGCGCGCGTGCTGTCGTAAGACTCCTTTGCAACGCGTTGGGCGAAGCGCGCGCGTCGTCGCGCGCGCATGCCGCAATCCATCAAAAACCTTACGTTTCGTAGCGACGTCAAAACCGAGCGCCCCGAAGCCATATGAAAACTCATGGCTTCGCAACAACAGTATTCAAAAAAACTGCGCTCGCGCTCTTGCCAATTCTTCCAATCAAAACCATAAGAACTCATCATTGTCATGGAATCATGCTAAACGGGCCTCTCGTGCCGCATGCCGAAAACATTCGAACGACCTTGCGCGCGTTGGGGATCCGTCCAATACAACCACGCGGGCCACCTGTGCGAGTCGGCCGCACGCGCATGCCGACCTCCTTCCAAAACCTTCATCGCCGACGCGAAAGCATCGTCATCCTTTCCGGCGGTGTTGATCAACATCGGCGCCGTCATTGGCCGCGCCGTCGCTGGTGTCATCATCGCCACCAGCACCGCTACTATTATCATCGCGTGTGCCGTTGTCGTCGTTGCCATGATACCGCGCCCGCCACAATCGCCGACTCGCCTCGAAGTGCGTGCTGTGATGTGCCCAGCGGTCAGCGCCACCGCGGCCGCGCCGGTCGCGCCGCACTAGCTGGCCGCTGCGCGCGCGAGCATGCGCGGGACAGCGCGCCCGCAGAGATGCACCAGCCACTACCGGGCACTCGTGGCAATCGCCGCCGCTTGGATTTTGCAAACCAAGTTGCGGGCTGGTGGGTGGGATGATTGCGCAAGCAGTGGAGTTGACAACTCCCTGCGAATAGAAATTTATTCTCCTTTCTAAAACCAGAATCGGATCTACCCTCCCTGGCGTTATCGGTGCCCCTTTCGGGTATGTAAATCATATATGAAACTGACCACATGTCCATCCTAAATATGAACTTGCACAATCCCAGGCCGGCCGGTATCCCCCCCCTGAGGCCCCTTTGAATAGAAAAAATAAAACAAAACACTATGCGGTGACATTTTTTGATCGAACATAACACTTGTTCACGAAACTCTTGCAAAAAACTGGACGAAGTGCACACGCGCGCGTCGTCGCGCGCGCATGCCGAAATCCTTCAAAAACCCTCGGTGCCAGAAAGATTTCGTAATCGAGTTTCCAAACCACATACAAAAACACAAGGTTTCACAACACTGTTTTGCTAAAAAAGCTTCCACGCGAGCCCTTCCGAAATTTTAAGCAAACCATGCGTTTTTTTGTTCCTCAAGATTTTCACAAAATGCTACCAAACGGGTTTCGCCCGCGCATGCCGAAATCTGTCGAACGCCCTTGCGCGTGTGCCGTCGCGAGAACCCTCTGCAAAAAATGAAACGAAGTGCAGACGCGCGCGTCGTCGCGGGCGTATGCCGAAAACCTTCAAAACCCATCGGTTTCGGAAGGAGTTCAAAATCGTGTGTCCAAAAAACCTACGAAAACCCAAGGTTTCGCAACACGGGTTTTCAACAAAGCGTGCGCGCGCGCTCTTGCGTCGTCGTCGTCGTCGTCGTCGTCGTCGCCGTCCTCCCTCCTCCCGCGTCGTCGTCGTCGTCGCCGCCTACGTCGTCCTCTGTCTTTCCTCGTGTTCGTCGTCGTCGTCCTCTTTGGCGTCGTGGTCGTTTCCGTCGTCGTTGTCGCCGTGGTCGTCCTTCCTCCCTATCCCTCGTCGTCGTCGTCGTCCGTCGTCGGCGTCTCGTCGTCGTCCCTGCTATTTCGTCGCCGTCGTCGTTGTCGTCGTCGTCCCTCCTCCCTCGTCGTTGTCGTCGTCGGCGTCGCCGTCCTTCCTCTTTCTTCGTCGTTCGCGTCGTCGCCGTCCTCCCTCCTCCCTCGTCGTTGTCGTCGTTGTCGTCGTTGTCGTCGTTGTCGCCGTCGTCGTCCTTTCTCCTCCCTCGTCGTCGTCTTCGTTGGCGTCGTCGTCGTCGTCGTCGTCGTCTTCGTCGTCGTCGTCGGCGTCGTTGTCGTCGTCGAAGACGTCGGAGACGTCGTCGGTGTCGTCGTAGTCGTTGTCGTCGGTGTCGTCGTAGTCGGTCCTAAGAGGTTTTGCAAACCAAGTTGCGGGTGGGTGGGTGGGTGGGTTGTTTGCGCGAGCAGTGGAGATGACGACTTCAAGCTCAGCAGAGTGGATTGCACCACATAAATTGCACCACGTCGATTGCACCACATTCTTTGCACCACGCATAGTGTTCCACATCGGGTGTACCACATAGATTGCACAATTTTGGACTTCACCACACAGATTGCACATCCGAGGTCGCTTGCAACACACTGTTTGGGGTCCACGCTGGCTCACACAGCCGCGATTAGATGCGCGAGTACATACACGTGATGAAATCCATCGATCCCGCCCTCGGGCGTTGGCAGAGCTGGGTTTAGTGGGACGTGGTTTAGTGATACGTACTGGGGGACGCCCCCCCCCACCCGGTTCCACTAACGGGAACTGCCGTCACCCGAAAAACACCAGCTGCGGCAGACAGACCTGGTTTAGTGACTCTGGCCAATTGAAAGGCTCTGGGGCCCTACCACTAACCGTGTCCCCATACCTGGGGTCCTGGCTATACCCGACGCTCTCGCAACTCACCCACGCTGCTCCGCGCGCTCGCACAGCAGGCGGGTGGCGAGGGAGGCTGCCACGTCGCCGGCGAATTCGCGGAGGAGGCGCTGGATGTTTCCCCCGCTATCCTGGCGGTCGGACGACTGGGGGTGCTCCCCGGTCGAAAGGGGGGGGGGCAGGGGGGAGAGGTGTGGGGGGGGTGGGGGGGGCTCCCCACTCGGAGGGTGCGCGGGTGGTGCTCCGGAGTGGGAGGGACAGGGGGGGGGGACAAGAAGGATACGGCAACGGAGGGCGAGAGCGAAAGGAGAAGAAGGGACTGAGGGAGAAAGAAGGGAGAGAGGGAGAGGAAGACGAGAACGAGCGATAGGTAATAGGTAAAAAGGACACGTAACGAGAGAAGAACGAGAGAGAGAGAGGACAGAGAGAAAGAGAGAGATCGAGAGAGAACAAACAACCCAGTAACTGTATACATGTATATATATATATAGAATTATATTAAAACCATCGCGCGCTTCGTGCGTGCTCAAGTTGTAGCGAGCTTCTTGGGGCCTCCTCGGAGCATCCTGGACTGCTTCTTGAAGTCGTCATGGGACCTTCTTGGCATGTCTCCGGGGCCTTTTAGACATAATGTTGAAGCCTTTTGGATGCCGTCTTGGGGCCTCTTGGAGCCTCCATTTTTGGGCTTCTTGGGGGCCTCTTGGGGCCTCTTGGGGGCTTCCTGGGGGCCTCTTGGGGCCTCTTGGGAGCATCTTGGGGCGGAGAGCTGGATGTTTCGGTTCGTGTTCCCTCGCTTAGGCGATTTTGGGGGCCTTCTTGGGATCCTCTTGCGCCGTCTTGGGCGGCTCGGGCTCTCTCGGGCCGTCTTGGGGCTCTCTTGGGGGCCCGTCTTGGAGCGGCTTGGGGAGCCTCTTGGGGGGTGCTTTAGCGCCGGAAACACGAAACAGCGAGAATGCAAAAAACATTAAACACATTCAAAATCAACGATGTTGCCCTCTTGGAGCGCTCTTGGGCTGCATCTCGAAGGCCTCTTGGGGGCCTCCTGGGCAGTTGAAAACGCATGGTGCATCGCCAGAGACCCCTGGACGGCGTCTTGGGGGTGTCTCGAGACCGTCTGGGGCCGCTCGGATTGCTGTCTGAGGGCTCCCCGGGGCGATTTCAGCCGTCCCAGAGGCGGGCCCGGGCCCCCGGCCCCACATTTGCGGTCGAGGCCGACCTGGTCCCCGATTATATGCACAAAGAATATTAAAGAGATAGGAAGGGACGGATGGAGGGAAATTGAAGGACGGGAAACGGAGGACAGGAAGGAACCTGAGGGAAGCACGGAGGGAAAATAATGGAGGAAAGGACGACAGAGGGAGGGAAACGGAGGAATGCAGCAGTTGAGGCGGGAGGGAGGGGCGGAAATGTGGGAAGAGGGAGATACGGAGGAGGGAGAAACGAGAGAGAACGAGGGGAGGGAGAGAAAGATAAGTGAGGGAGGGATAGAAGTGGACGTAGGGAGGGAGGAACGGGAGAAACGTGGGAGGGAAATGAAAGGAAGAACAAAGGCAGGGAGGACAAGAAGTGAAGGGATGAGGACAAGTGAGGGGAGGGAAGGGAAGATCGAACGAGCAGTGGAGGCGGATGGAAGGAGGAATGGGTGAAGGAAAGAAGGGGCGTGGATGGACGGAGGAAAGGGCGCGGAAAAGGGGGTGGATGGGCTGTGATATGGGACAGGAGGCAAAGAAGAGAGAAACATAACGACGGACAAGGGAGGATGAACCCTGAAAGAACACCGATCTTTGAATTTAGCCTGCCCACGCCATAGGGAACGCACATACCAACCTATATGCCAGACGTTCCTCTTGCTGATCGTCCCCCATTTATTCACGGGGCCCCTGCTCTACATCCTGCTGCACCTGAGGGGAAGGGAAGGATTACCTCCCCTCCTCCTTTCACGAATGCATAACATGAACACCACTTTCCTCTCTCCTCTGACTCTGTCCGAAGAGTCTCCCGTCCTCCCCGCATCTTGTTTTCTCATATACAAGACTTCATTCGTTGTTTTTGTTCCGATGTGTTTTTTCAATGTGGTCGTTCCTGGTTCTTCTAAAATGGTGTTCCCGCCGCAGCGCCGCCCTCATTTTCGCGCTTCGGCCATTCAAAATCATGCTCCCGCTGCAGCGCTGGCATCGTTTTCGCGCCTCCGGACGGCACTTGGCATTCGAAAGCATCCACATCTGGCAAGCACGGTTGCGGCGGCATTCCGGACAAGCCCTGTCCTCTCGTCGGACAGGCCCTGTCCTCTCCAAATCATCCGGTGCCATGCCGCGGCATGCAATGCGATGCTGCGTTGTGCACTGCAGTGCGATGCCATGACTTGCATTGCTATGCTTTGCGATGCAATGCTTCACTACGCAATGCCACGCCATGCAATGACATTATAAGCTCTGCCGTGCTCGTCTACGCCATGCTTTCCCATCCATCGCGTACCCTCTTGGGGTCATTACCCTGCTCGGCATCCGATTGTGCGAATAGATCGGAGAACATCGCCATAGTAAGGGATGGGAGGGAGGGGTAGGACGTCATATTTGACGCCAGCGCATCTAGCTTGCCCCCCCCCCCCCCTCCTCCTCCACCAATCGCCTCCCCTCCTCCTCCACCCCCGCCCCTCCTGCCCCTCCCCCTCCTCGTCGTGCTTCCCCGCCTCCTCGATCCTCTCCCCTTCCCCCTCCTCCTGCGGGCATCCTTCCCCTCCTCTCCTCCCCATCCGCCTCCTCCACCCGACGTTCGGCCTCCTGCGCCCCCCCGCTGCCGCTACCCGCTCCGCCAGGCTCCTCCCCGCTCGCCCGTCCTCTTCGCTTCCACCAGCGCTTCGACACGCTCCCAGGCAGAGGACACGGGTAGACGGTCGGCGCAACCCACCGTGCCCTCCGTTGTCTCCGTCTCCTCCTCCTCCTCCTCCTCCTCCTCCTCCGGCCTCTTGCCCATTGCCTCCTCCGCCTCTTCTGCCGACTCCTATCATGCATATCCTCCTCCTCCTCCTCCTCCTGCTCCGTCCTCTTGCCCATTACCTCCTCCACCTCTTCTGTCGACTCCTATCATGCATATCATTTTCTCCTCCTCCTCCTCCTCCTTCCTGTCTCCCTCCTCACTTCCCTCATAGTCATCATCATGACCATATGTGCTGCTCCCCCTCTCTCTCTGTGTCCTTCTCTCACTCTCTATTGCTCTCTCTCTCTCTTTTTCGCGACAGTGACATATTCGTCCTTCTCCAGCCTATCACCCTGAAGCACACGAACCAATCCGACGCCCACACACCGATGCCGCAGGGGACCAAGACGATGGGGACGCGTAACAAAACCATGCTCAAGCGCGAGCTCCTCCTCCTCCTCCTCCTCCTTCTCCTCCTCCACTTCATACTCTGTCATTATCCACTTCTCTCCCCTCCTGCTCCGCCTCATCCTACAGCTGCCTCTCGTAATCGTCCTCCGCCATGCCCTACTCCTGACCCTTCGATTCTTATCTGCTCTCGTGGTCAAAAACTGCAACGTAAGAAAACACCTGCCACTCACAGAACGCCTGCAACACAACACCCCCGCCGATGCTCCGTGTGAGCAAACGAAGAATACGAATGCGAGGCAGGAGGGGAGCTTGAGGAGGGAAACGTCGAGAGGAGCATGATGGAATTTGAGGATGAAGTGAAGGCGCAGTACACAAGATCAATGTGGAGGGGCCTGGAAGCTGCTTCAAGATGTGATGGACGTGAAAGAGGAGGGAGGAGTGCAGTGGGGCGGGGGAGGGAAGCAGGGGGCGACGGATGGGGTAGAGGGGACGAGGAGGACGAGGAGAGCGAGGGGTGCGGGAGGAATTGCTGCAGGCGCGGGCGGGGAATTTGCGAGAGAGGAAAGGTCTTAACGGAAACGCCCCCAAATCCTCGAGCCCCGGCCCTCGATCGGCGGCGGCGACAAGGACGACAATGATGACGACGGGTCGATCGGTGGCGGCGGCCGACAACCCAGAGATCCGATGTTCTGATCCCAGGGCGCACCCCTCACGCAGATTCGTGGCCTCGGACTGCCAGAAGACTTTGCGCGACTGTCGTCGTCGTCGTCGTCGTCGTCGTTTTGAGATCAATATCGCCGTCTTCGTCATCGGTATCGTCGTCGTTTTGAGATCAATATGTCTTGGGCCATGGGTGGGTGGGACACGTCCAACAGGCATCAAGTATCGACCAATCGGTTTTTGATCCCGAAAAATCTGTTGACGATCCTGGGGGCCGGGCGAGGGCCTCCGGACAGAGGCCGAGAACAGCGAAGCACCACCATCTTGTTTGTCAATGCGCTGGATCTCCGGGAACGACAGCAAAGACGACGACGACGGCGACGACGACGACGACGGCGACGGCGACGACGACGACGACGGCGACGGCGACGACGACGATCGCGACGACGATGGCGACGGCGACGGCGACGGCGACGGCGACGACGAGAGCGACGACGATGGCGACGGCGACGGCGACGGCGACGGCGACGACGACGACGACGGCGACGACGCCGACGAGAGCGACGACAGCGGCCCCGTCGGCGGCGACGGCGCCCTCCGAGCCGCTGCCCCGGCCGCCGAAGGGGGCCCCCGCCGGAGCAGCCCGCCGGGGCCCGGCGGCGGCGGCGATGGCGACGATCGGGGATCTACCCAGAGATCCGACGTTCCAACGAAGGAGGAGGAGGAGGAGGGAGGAGGAGGAGGAGGAGGGAGGAGGAGGAGGAGGAGGAGGAGGAGAGGAGGAGGAGGAGCAGGAGGAGGAGGAGGAGGAGGAGGAGCAGCGCGTTGTGGCGATTGGCGATGGCGGCGGCGATGGCGACGTTCCAACGAACAGTGGGGCGGCGGGATGTGGGCTGTGTTCGGCCTCTGGGGGCCCTCGCCGGGCTTCAGGAGCGTCACAGAACGAGTCGGGGCGAAGAGCGGACCCTGGGGAAGTGGTCAAGACCTCCGGGGCCCGCGCATCAAAAGACCTTGGAGCAACTGGATGTCTGGGTACTGACTCGGGTCAATCCAGACCCAGGTCAGTCAGGCCCTGCAAAATCCTGCAAGATCCTGCAGGGTCCTGCAGGAGCCTGCGCCCAAGCCTGGGGTCAATGCAGCCCTGGCTCTGCAGGATCCTGCAACATCCCGCGCTCGGACTGGCCTTCGGTCGGGCGTGTCCCCCTACAGGCGGATTTTGGTCGAAAAGTTAGGGAGACTCGCAAAATACTTCAAAAAGATCAACAAATAATCAAACATTGGTCCCCCGATTTTTTACTTGTTGGGGATTTCCCTCCTGTAGAGGGACAGGCCCGACTTCAGACTGGCCCCCTGTTGCATTGACCCCCGTCGCTGGAGGCCCCGAGGCGACGTCGACGGCCTGCTGCCGGTCCTCCTCGCGGCCCGCAGCATCTTCTGTGCGCGCGGGTCCGACTCGGCGGGGGAGGGACGGGCGGGGGCCGGGCAACCGCTCTGTGCCGACCATTGTGCGCGGCTCGCCTCTGGGTTTAAGTCGGGCCTGTCCTCCTACGGGGGAGTTTTGGACGAAAAATAAAAAATAGTCAAAAAATACCCCAAGTGGCAAAAACATATTCAAAACATCGTCCCCACACTATTTTTGACTATTTTTGAACATTCCCCCTGTAGAGGGACAGGCCCGACTTAACTCTGGGTCCCTTGCCGCCTTGCTGCTCCCTCCTCCTTTCTCACGAGCGGGCATCAGCTGCGCAGCTGTTGCGACAATGAGATGGAAACCAGAATCCACCGACCCTGTCGGCGTGCGTGAGGCGCTTGCCTGTTCAAGTCGTCGTCTCCGTCCGTCGTCGTCTCCGTCGTCCCCTTTTCCCTGCACCCTCCTCCTCAAGCCCGTCAGCGAAAGAAAAGTCTGAGTGGAAGGGAACCCCCCTTCCCTTTGATCCCCTCCCCGTCGGGGGAGGGGTCCCGCGGGGGGGTAATGGGGGGGTAATCGAGTGGAAGGGAACCACCTTCCCTTTGATCCCCTCCCCGTCGGGGGAGGGGTCCCGCGGGGGGGTAATGGGAGGGCAATCGAGTGGAAGGGAACCCCCTTCCCTTTGATCCCCTCCCGTCGGGGGAGGGGTCCCGCGGGGGAGGGGTCCCCGCGGGGGCAGTCCTGGGGCCTGAGGAATTACCAAGACAGGCCACGAGCGCCCCAAGTGGCCCCACGGCCTCTTCTCAAAACGGTGCCCTCGCTGGACACATCGTTGAGCTTCATATACGATCGTGCCTCCTGCATTCAAGTTACCAGCCTCGAACGTAGACCTATCCTAAGATTGACACGCCAAAAAGCGATGACAATCTTAGGGATGCGCCCTCAAAAAATAAGGGAATCCCTAAGATTTGCATCGTGATGAGGAGATGCCCAGCATAGGGATAGGGGTATGTTCCAGGCTGGCATTCAAGGACCGACCACAGCAATGTCTAAAACGAAATGTCATGTACAACGACCACGAAACGAGGCCCACCGTTCAAAACGAACGTTTAAGCGGAGCCGGTGGCAAACGAACACGAACGACGAAACGGGGCGTCCAAAACAACGAGCAACGAAACGAAGCAACAACGAAAAACGAAACGAAAAACACAAGAATGGCTCAAACCAAGCTGAGCAGCGTTGTGGTCGGTCCTTGCCCGGATTCCTTCGAAACTTGCTGGGGGGATGCAGGGCCACTCCCCCTTCAAGTCGGGGCCCTTGCTCTTGAGCGACACACCCATAGGGCGCTGGTTGTTCAAGGGGGGCGCCTCGCCTCTTCTACCCATTGAAGGGGCCCAAGGACACACAAATAAACACACACAAATAGCAGGACTCCGGGTATTTTTCAATTTTTTTTTGATTTTCGTCTTCCCCCCCACTTCCCATAGTTCCCTATATGTTCCTGGGCATCGACGATTCCTTGTGTCTGTGTGTCTTTTCCCTCCTGACCCATGTCGGGCGCACCCTGACATGGATTGAAGATCCCTAGATCTGGCGCGTGGGCGCCAGCCCACACATCGGGGAACGCACCCACGAAACCTGAGGCCAATGCCGCCCGATCCGGCGACGACACACGCCGACTCAACACGGACACGGGACCCGGCGCCAACCCGCGCTGCCTTCATCAATCCATGTCTGCGCTTCCTCGACCACGGGATCCCAACCTGGCGTCGGCGAGGAAGTGTTCCGCGAACTGCGCGGTGGTGATACGGCCGCGGAGCCGAAGCCTGGCATGACTGCGCAACAATCGATGGGCACGTGGAACCACGGGTGCTCGATCCACGTCCCTGCGAGGCGGCGAATGATTCACAGCCACCGCCTAGGGAATCGAAGTCCTGGCATCCCTGTCTGCTTACACGGATAACCATGTCAGCGATCCCTGGGGCCCAACCGTATCCAGATCCACCGCCTGCCTAGGCCCGCGGAGATCGATATCCCCCAGGCGGTGGCTGTGGATAACTCCCCGTGTCGGCGTTTCTCCTCCCCTCCTCCACCCACGGGCTTCCGCAGCCCCCCATCTGCATCGCCACGCCTCCCCTCCATTCCCCACCAAGCGACTGCCCCCGCGCCTCTCCTCCAAGCTGTT